CTAATTTTCTAAAAAAATATTTTAACTATATTTTGAAAACATAATTTGCTAGTTATAAACCCAATATTAATTTTTTACAAGTTTTTGTATGGTATTAAGTATTTTACTAAAAAAGGCTATTTAATAGACAAGATTAAGCTTCTTTTTCGGAAGGGTGTCTTTCCATATAACTGGACAAATGCATGTGAAAAATTCGATAGAACAAGCCTCCCATTTAAAAAAGATTTCTATTCACTTCTTAGTCAACAAAATATTAGTAAAAAGGATTATGAATATATACAAAAGATATAGCAAATATTCAAGATAAAGAACTTTGAAGAATATTATGACCTTTATTTTGAAACTGATACACTTTTACTTGCGAATATTTTCATGAATTATACTATAATGTGTCTCAAAGATGATGGTCTAGTTTCATCTTACTATGTTTCTGCACCTGAAATGCTTAACGATTATTTATACAAAAGTAGCAGAGTAGAACTTAAGCTCATGACAAATATGGATAAGTATCTGATAGTTGAAAATGGAATCTGTGAAGGAATGACAATAGCATGTCATAGATATATCAAAGCAAATAATCTGCAATATCCAAACTATGAGTTTAGCAAGCTGAAGTTCTGGATCTTATATGAAGATATGAATGCTTTATATTCAGATACAATGATCTAATACATGCCTATAAAAATCCTAAGTAAAGTAAGTCCAGAAGAAGTACCTGATATCCAAAGTATTGCACCAGATACAGAAATAGGCTATATATTTGAAGTTAATTTAGAAGCCTTAGTGTACTTGCATGATTACTTTGCAGATTATCCTTTAGTGCCAGAAAAGCAGATAATACCAGAAAACTAGCTTAGTCTATACAATAAAATATTAGTATGTGATAAAAATATTGGAGAAGAAAAATATGTATCTGGAGAAAAGGGGTGCGGGTCAAAATCCTGACAAACAGAATCCCGACAGGTCATAATCCCGACAAAAAAATCCCGACAGTTGAAAATCCCGACAATTAAAAATCCTGACAGCCAGAATTTCTAGGTAGAAAATCCCAAGTATGAGATATGTTTAAAGCGAAATAGACTCTTATAATTTAATTAATTTTAGGGTTAGGTCACTTTAGATAATGGTTAAGATAGAGTTTGCTATAGTCTATGATATTTTTTATCAGTGTTTTTAATTGTCATAATTTTTAACTGTCAGGATTTTTGATTGTCAGGATTTTTAGCTATCAGGATTTTTTTGTCGAGATTATGACCTGTCGGGATTCTGTTTGTCAGGATTTTGACCCAAACCCGGAGAAAAGCTAGTTCAAACTCTTTTTACTAAGAAGAATTATATAGTTCATTACCAAGCTCTCCAAACATATATGAAGTTCAGAATAAAGGTTACAAAGATTTATAATACTTTTAAGTTTAAGTAGTCTTCATAGATGAAGAAATATATTGAGAAAAATATTTATAAACACAAAATAGCCAAAGCAAATAGAGATGAGTTTGGGGTCATATATTATAAGCTAAAAAATAATGCAGTCTTTGGCAAACAGATAGAAAATGTTCATAAATATATTATTACAAGGCTGTAGCCTTCTTAGTAAAATACAACCAAGTAACAAAGTTACTCGATATAGTGATTGACTATTGCAAATATATACAGGGTAGAGGTGTAGTTGTTTACTTAACTACACAGTAGCAGACAAACAGTTTGAGATAGTAATAGTATATATAGAATAACTTTATTTAATACAAGAATAGTGATAAGCCTT